ACCCAACCATAAAAATATTTTCATTACTACTTCATCACGCTCATTTTGCTAGTTAGGAATCGGTCGACCCCTGTGAAAGGGTTGTTGGACCCCCCAAAGGGGTCGCGACCCACAGGTTGAAAACCGCTGCTCTAGGGGCTGTTGGGCAACTCGTTTCAACCGCTGAGCCCTGGTCACCCTCCTCTCTAAATCAGAAAGTGTCACAGGTTTCCAGCATCCCCTAACTTCGCCCAGGGGAAGGAGGAGGCTGATTCTCCTGAGGCAGGTGTCAGACGCACCACTAACCCTGCAACCTTTTTACGGATTCTGACACCTGCCCCTTGCCCACAGCACTCCCTGCTGCCTCTAAACTGGGCCTCTGTAATTCCTTGCAAGGACCACACAGGCAGTACTTAGAGTGATGGGCTTTGTTAGGGAGATGACCGCGTAGTGCAGTGGGCTTCACTTTGGGCTAACTGGGCACTTCGAGTTACTGACTGGTCACCTCTCTGAGGGAGAAAGAAGGGGCTTTCTGCTCCCCTAACTAAATATCTACAGCCTTGGACCCTCACCCAGTTGACAGTTTTTTAAATTATTATTTTTTAAATGTGTGGCCCTGGAAACCCCCAGAGGCAGGTCTCCTCTGCCCCTTAATGTTGCTGAAGGTCAGAGCTGACCCAATGGCCGTGGGAACAGGTTCTCATTCAGGTTCAGGGATGTGTAGGTAACAGTGCTTTCAGAGGACAGGTGTTCCTGCTGGCAGACCTGTTCTGGTCCTCAGTCCCTTCCAGCACCACCCCCCATCCAGGGACCTCAAGTCATTCTGGCCTCTAACTCTCTCAAGCTCTAAGCTCTGCCAGTCAGTGCCTAGAGGCACCCTACTCTGCTGATAACATATATGTAAAGTGCCCTGGCCCAGGAGTTGATTCTAACGTATAGCTCTGGCTCACAGGGACCCTACGGGGCAGAGTAGAACTCTGCCCTGTAGGGCTTCTGAGACTGTACTTTTTTTAGGGGGGACAGTTTTATTGTCACCTAATTCACATATCACACAATATCAAGAATTGTACCATCATCACCACATCCGTTCTAGAGGATCACCCCGCCCCACCCCCCGTGGTTAAATTGCCTTTACAGGGAGTTGGAGCCTGGACCCGGCTGCCTCATCTCTGCACGGGTTCCAACTGCCCTGCTTCCCGTTCTCAGCCCAGCACTCAACCCGCTGTGCCAACCGTGCGCCCTCGCCTGTGATAAACCGAAACCATCAAGTAACCAAACCCACTGCCCGCAAGTCCATAACAACACGTGGTGACCACACGGGGCTTTTGAGGCTGTAAATCTTTACGGGCGCCTTTGCTGTGGCTGCTGCTGCGGCTGCTGCTGCTGCTGCTGCTGCTGGTGCTGGTGCTGGTGTTCGGTACCATCGAGTCGGTTCCGACTCATAGCCACCCTCTGAACAACAGAACAAAGCACAGCCTGGTCCTGGGCCCTCCTCACCATCGTTCTTGGTCTGAGCCCAGCGAGGCAGCCACTGCACCAATCCGCCTCCAACAGGACCCTCCTTTTTTGCACTGCCCCTCCTGGACCCAGCAAGATGCCCGCTGCACTCTCCCTGTTCTTAGCCGGCATCCATTCTCTCTGGATGAGGTGGCCAGCGTCTCTCCGGGTGGTCTCCCATACACTGGGCGGCCCGGGCGTGAGGAGTCCCCTTGTTTCTGTTTCTTTCCCTCAGGGCACTGAGGTCTTCCCTCTCTTGGGCTCCGTCCTGCACGACCCCGAGGTCTTCGAGCAGCCTGAGGAGTTCAACCCAGGCCGCTTCCTGGACGCAGACGGACGCTTCAAGAAGCACGAGGCCTTCCTACCCTTCTCCTTAGGTATCTTCTGGCCCCTCTGGCCCTGGCCTTGCCTTCTGACCGGTCCACCACAGGGACCCTGGGTAGCGGTGCCAGGCCGGTGGGGAGGCGGGGAGTCCCCTCCCCACACCCCGACTCAGCCTCGCCTCCCTTGTCTCGCCAGGCAAGCGCGTCTGCCTCGGGGAGGCCCTGGTGAGGCCCGAGCTCTTTCTCTTCTTCACGGCCATCCTGCAAGCCTTCTCCCTGGACAGCCCGTGCCCCCGCGACGCCCTCAGCCTGCAGCCCACCGTCAGTGGCTTTGCCAACATCCCCCCTGCCTTCCAGCTGCTGGTCCAGTCCCGCTGACCCCACTGCCCTGGGGCGGGGACCAGAGGAAGGAGGAGAAAGCCCTGGAAGGAAGTGGACACCAGGGACTAAGGCCCCCCCAATCAGGGCCTCCACAGTGACTGGGGGGTGGGGGCACCACTGGGCCTGAGGAACCCTGCCTCACACTGGGGAGACGAGAGGCCAGCCACACTCAGGCAACCGCCACTGTTTTGTTCAGACGCGCGCGGCACATACCACGTGCCTGTCCCACGGCTCCCGCAGCCACAGAGACACGCCCCGGGCCACGCAGCATTTTCGGAATCACAGCTGTGTCCACAGCTCAGCAAGGACCATGCCCACAACTGCCCTGGTGTATCAAACCCGCTGGGGATTGGGGGGCGGGGCCCACTGCCTCTGGGAGCCTGGATCATGTCACCGCAAAGAGACAGACCACCTCCGTCCCCAGCTCACTGCCCTTCAGGCACGTGTCTGAGCAGTATTCCCACGGCCATCTCTACTCATACCCATACCCGCAGCCTTGGCGCCACATAGCAGGCACAGGGGTGCACACAGGACACTGCCACCATGTCTCCTGGTAGGGAATAATACCCTCCCATTTCACCCACCAGGCAGCACCATCCCCAACCCCACACTCAAGGACACCCCTTTCCAAGCACCCCGCCCCCCCATTCCCCCCTGCTTTCCTCAGCCCATCCCCAATATGCAGATGTTCACAGACCAAAGAAACTTCAAGGACACTAGGAACAAAGGGCTACTGCCCCCACTCCTGCTTCGGTAGCCACGTCCACAGCCTCCCCCTGCTGGCCACTCTGTCCCTCATCCCACAGCCTGGTCACACACCCAAGGGACTCAGGACTTCGACTGATTCAGTTAGGCCCCGGAGAGGGACTTTCCAGGCCAAGAAGGGGCCAAGATCCCAACCGCCAGCCTGGGCATGTCCTGGAAGAGGCTGGGTCTGGCCTCCCTCCCCTGGTGACTTCCAGGCCCCTGGTCAGCAATAAAAGATTGTTATTCTTTCTGGCCCCCCTGGCAGGGCCTAAAGCGGGCTGGTGACTGCATCCATCACAGTTCTGGGCGGGTGGGGTGTGCCCCCTCCCCACTCCCCGGAGGCTGGGCGGGAGCTTAAAAACACCACGGCCCCCGCCCACCCTGGCTGTTGACATCAGCTCCAGATGTGGGGTTGAGTGCCGAGGGGGGCGGGGGCCTCCTCCTTCTAGAGCCAGAGTTTGGGGGGAGGGGGCTAAGAGCAGTGGGAGAGGGTCTCCTTCATGTGGGCCTGGGCTGCCTCTCCCAGGAAGCCATGGGAGCCCTCCAGACCCCACCTTCAGCCTCTGCCCCACCCACCTCTGCTACCGGCAGGCGGAAGCTCCCTCCTTTCCCTAAGAGCAGCAGGCGACAAAGGATGGTGGATAGAGGATGGTTCCGGAGCCCACCTTCCCCCACATGCTCTGCTCCCAACTCCACGTCACCATCGGCTTCCTGCGGCCCGTATCTCACTCATTTCCCGGGTTACTTTTTAAGTCAGTCACAGACCACGCCGCCTCTGAAAGTTGGGGGCGGTTTCTCTTTGGGCCTAACGTTTCACTGTGAGCTTCTCAAAGCACGCAGCGAAATTGCAGGTGCCAGGCAGGGAGCCCCTGGGCACCTCTCTGTTTGCACACTTAAGGTCTGTCTGACCGGCCACCCTGGCTCTTAGACATGTTGGGATAAATGGCGCAGGGCGCAGCCTTGTTTCATTCTGTGGCCCATCAGGTTGGTGGTTCGGAACCAGCTGGGTGGTGGCCAACAAGAATAAACGGTTCCGGCGCTGGGGTCGGCAGTCTGGAACTACCAGAAACAGATGAGACTCTCCTCTAGAGAGTGACCGCCTCAGAGACCCACAAGGAAAGTTCTGCTCTGTCCTGTCCGAGTCGCTGTGAGCCTGAATCGGAGTCAATTGTAGACATCGACCCATCTTGCCAAAAAAAAAAGTTTGGGCAGCATGTGGGTGATTAGCTAAAACTTTAATCTATGAAGACCATCTCTATCCCAGGAGACAATTCTAGAACGTCAGGTGCAGTCAGAATGCACATTTCCCTGCAGGTCCCAAAATGCTTCTGCTACTCGGTTTGTCCATGGGTCTGTTCTTGGGTGATGCGTTCAAACTCGCTCACTCGGGGGCACCATAGAAGCAGGGCTGGCGGTCAGCTCCCACAACATCACAGTCAAACGGACTGCCGACTGGGGACCCCACCTTTCAGGGGGAGTTTGTGTTCCTTGTATTTTTCCAGGGCTCTGGTCTCCTAAACCCAAAAGTCCCTGGAAGCTGCTCAATTCGGGCTCATAGCAACCGTGCTCGGGGGAGCAGGGCTGCCCCTGTGGGGTTTGTGGCTGTCACTCTTTACAGAGCAAACTGCCTCTTTGCTCCCGGAGTGGCTCAGGGTTTCAAGCTGCCAACCTTGCTCTTAGCAGCCCAACATGTTTCCATTCCGCCACCAGGGCTCCTGCCTTTCATGGAGGAATCCTTAAAAGCATAAATCAGGTCCTGCCCCCCCCACCCCAGCTCAACACTCCCAGGGGGTCCCCCATCACCGTTTGAATACAGATCAAAGTCTTCTCAGACCCTACTGTCTCCCACCCTCATCCTCTCCAGCCACAAAGCCTTGCTTGAAGCTCTTTGCCGGGACCAGCACATGCCTGCCTCAGGGCCTTTGCACCGGCTGTTCCCTGCGCCCGAGATGCTGTTCCCCCCATGGCTCACCTGCCAACCCACTCCTCACCTTAAACCTCGCCGCAGAGAAGCCTTCCCCAGCCACTGTCTCCGGATAACCTTCCAACCCACCTTTTCACATCCCTCTCCGGGTTGATTTCCTGGAAGAGCTTAGTTGGTGGTCTCTCCATTTGAATCCAAGCTCCCCCGGGGCAGGGATCCGTCTTGTTCCCTGTGGAATCCCAGCCCCTGGCTCTGGGAATGTTTCTACCTTTGTTGTTTTCGCATGATGATTTCACATGTTCTTTTGTTTTGTCCCTGAGAATTTATTCGGCAGCAAGACTAGGCACCAAATCCTCCGTTCACAGGTATGCGTTGCTCTGTTCAGTTTATCTTTTTTCACAACGTGCATACTGAAAACATGGACTGCTTCACAAATTTGCACGTCATCCTTACACAGGGGCCGTGCGCATCTTCTCTGCGAGTGTCGATGCCAGTGTTTGGGCCGCCAAAGGAGCACTCCACCCCCCCCCCACCTCCACCCCCACCCCCACCCCGAGCATTTATCTAGCCTCTCCAGGTGCTGTTGTCCATTTGATCCCAGATCCCAAGCCAAAGCTAAAGCCATCAAATCCATCCCAACTCAGAGCGACCCTATAGGACGAGCTACAGCTGCCCCTGTGGGTTTTTGAGACTGTAAATCTTTAGGGGACCAGGAAGCCTTCTCTTTCTCCCACAGAGCAATTGGAGGTTTCAAGCCACTGACCAACGTGTCCCCACTGGGCCACTCGGGCTCCTTTGGACTCCACGTGGATAGATCTGAATAGAGCGTCATGCCCAAGGCAGACCTGCTGTACCAGCAAAGCTGCACTGTTGCTTGGTGTTAAGCAGCTTCAGGGGAGGTTTCTTATTGAGAGACCCTCTCAGGGCAATAGGGTCAGGGGTCCCCAGCCAGTTTTCCACTTCATTTTTTACAATGTATTGCAAGGGACATTGCAGGTGTACGATGTAAAGAAACAAACAGACAGACATCAACCTCACTGCCGGCAAGTTGATTCCGACTCCTTAGCCACCCTAGAGGACGGGGGACTACCCCGTGGATTTCTCAACCGGTCACTGTTGGCAGCAGTCGAAAGCCGCGCCTTTCTCCCGTGAACCAGCTAGTGGTTTTGAACTGCTGACCTTGCTGTGGGCAGCCCAGCCCATAAACCACTGTGTCTCCAGGAACCAGAGCAAGTGATAACAAAAACCTCCACGGCCATCAAGTCGGTACCCGCGTCTAGTGACCCTCCCAGACAGGATCGTGCTGCCCCTCTGGGCTTCTGAGGTTGTAACTGCTTACAGGATTTGTAGAAAGCCTGATCTGTCTCCCAAGGAGCTACTGGTGGTTTCAAACCGCTAACGTTTAGGATCACAGCTCAAGGTGTAACCACGATACCAACAAGGCTCCTCTAGGGCGCATGACAGGTGCCCAGCCAATAGTTCTTGCGGGAACAAGCACTGAAGCTTAGTTAGCCTTAAAGCAGCATCCGCAAGGGCAGCATCCTGTGGGGAGTCCAGTGAGGTCACACTAGCGGGCAGGTCTCTGTATGTATCTGCACACACACACACACACACACACACACACACACCCCAAGACGCCACAGTAGGGATGATCTCCTTGGTGGCAGGTACTTTAAAGGCAATGGTCATAGCAGTGGCCCAGACAGACCCACCGCCTGCCCTCCCCGAGTCCACAGACTGAGGGCCAGGCAGCATCTCACTGGAGGGGAGACCAATGGGGTGGGAAGAGGGGGTGTAGCCTTCGGGTCTTAGTTCTTCCTCTGAGTCCTGGCTTCCTTTTGGTAAGGTAGCCTCACTTTTTTTTTTTTTTTTTGGCAGCCAACTGGTGGATTGTGGGAGAAAGACTTTCTAGTCCCGTAAACGGTTACAGTCTCAGAGACTCACTGAGCAGGTCCGTCCTGCCCCGTAGGGTAGCTGTGAGCGGGCATCGATGCAATGGCACTGAGTGTGGTTTGGAAGATTGGGTGGTACTGCTGGGTAAACATTGGGCTGCTAACCACAAAGTCAGTAGCTCAAATCCACAAGCCGCTACAGGGGAAAAGATACGGCTATCTCTGCCCACAAAGATTGACAGCCCCAAATCCATTTTGGGGGCTGTAAATGGACTGCATCTCTGATGAGTCCCCTCTGCTCATGATGGTCCAGGCGTGTGAATAGCCTTGTTATCAGAAAGAGAGCATTGTAAAGTCGATTAGGGCAGACATAGTGAGGTTAAAATGTAATATCTTGTCAGTTAATCTCCTTGTTGACCCAATTAAGAGTTGATTCCGTTTATTAAAAAGAGTGAAGAAGAAATATGCGGTGGAGGGAAAGGAGGTGGTGTTGACCCACCCAGGGACAAGGGAACAACAAGTGATCCAAAACCAGTGGCGAGGAGGATGTGAGAGGCCTGGTGGGGATTGATCAAAGGCAGTGTAACCGAGAGGAATTACTGAAACCCAAATGAGGGCTGAGCATGATACTGGAACAAGAGGAAAGTAAAAGGAAATAGAGGAAAGAGCTTCGAGGCAATGGGCATTTATAGAGGTCTAAATACAGGCATGTACATATGTAAATATATTTATATATGATGATGGGGAAATAGATCTACATGCATATATTTATAGGTTTAACATTAAGGTAGCAGATGAACATTGGGCCTCCACTCAAGTACTCCCTCAATGCAAGAACACTTTGTTCTATTAAACTGGCATTCCATGATGCTCACCTTCCCTACATGATCACCAAGACAAATGGGTGCATAAGCAAATGTGGTGAAGAAAGCTGATGGTGCCCGGCTATCAAAAGATATAGCATTTGAGGTCTTAAAGGCTTGAAGGTAAACAACCGGCCATCTAGCTCACAAGCAACAAAACCCACATGGAAGAAGCACACCAGCCTGTGTGACTACAAGGTGTCAAAGGGATCAGGGATCAGGCATCAAAGAACAAAAAAATCATATGATTATAAATGAGGGGGAGTGCAGATTGGGGACCCAAAGCCCATCTGTAAGCAACTGGACATCCCCTTACAGAAGGGTCATGGGGAGGAAACAAGCCAGTCAGGGTGCAATGTAGCAATGATGAAACATACAACTTTCCTCTAGTTCTTAAATTCTTCCTTTCCCCACTCGCCCCCACTTTAATGATCCCAATCTACCTTGCAAATCCGGCTAGATCAGAGATGTACACTGGTACAAATAGGAACCAGAAACACAGGGAATCCAGGACAGATGATCCCTTCAAGACCAGTGGTGAGAGTTGCAATACCCGGAGGGTGGAGGGAAGGGAGGGTAGAAAGGGGGAACTGATTATAAGGATCTACATATAGCCTCCTCCCTGGGGGACAGACAACAGGAAAGTGGGTGAAGGGAGACATCAGACAGTGTAAGATATGACATAATAATTTATAAATTATCAAGAGTTCATGAGGGAGGCGGGAGAGGGGAGAGAGAGGGGAAAATGAGGAGTTGATACCAAGGACTTAAATAGAAAGCAAATGTTTTGATGATGAGGGCAACGAATGTACAAATGCACTTGACATACAATGGATGGCTGTATGGATTGTGATAAGAGTTGTATGAGGTCCCAATAAAATGATTTTTTTTAAATATATATGCGGTGGATTCAGCTTCTGGTGAATCCTTTCTGACCATAGGCCAGGGATGTGAGTAGCCGCACATTGGAAAGTGAATGGCAGAAAACATTGGAAAAGGTGGATGATTGCAGATACAACGAGGTTAAAATATCACCCTCTTGACACATTTTACACTTGTTCTTGGTTATAATATGTTCTACTTTTCCATTGTGGTTTTACTCTGTTTCACTTAAAAAAAATCATTTTATTGGGGCTCATACAACTCTTATCACAATCCATCCATTCATCCATTGTGTCAAGCACATTTGGACATTTGTTGCCATCATCATTTTCAAAACATTTTCTTTCTAATTGAGCCTTTGGTATCAGCTCCTCATTTTTTCTTCTCCCTCCCTCACCAACCGTTGATAATTCATAAATTGTTATCTTTTCATGTCTTACACGGTCTCTCTTCACCCTCTTTTCTGTTGTCCATCCCCCAGGGAGGGAGTTATATGTAGATCATTGTGATTGATTCCCCCTTTGTACCCCTGCCTTTCCCTTCCCCTCCTAGTATCACTACTCTCATTATTGGTCCTGAGGGGTTTATCTGTCCTGGATTCCCTGTGTTTCCAGCGCTTATCTGTACCCGTGTACATCCTCGGGTCTAGCCAGATTTGTAGGGTAGATTGGGATCATGATAGTGGTGGGGAAGAAGCATTAAAGAACTAGAGGAAAGTTGTATGTTTCAACCGTGCTATACTGCACCCTGACTGGCTCCTCTTCTATTTCACTTTGTTATTGTCATTCGTATTCTTGTTTTTTCAATGTTTTTCTGTATATGAACTCTAGGGTAGGCGAATCCACAGCATCAGTAATTGGATTGACTGTTTCTTGGGGGTACGGCAGAGGAGGTTGGTGGGAAACAGGGAGCTCGTAAGTACAAGAATGAAGAAAATGTTCTAAAATTGATTGTGGTGATCGAACGGCTCTTCTTAATATGTTTGAACTATTGAATTGTATGACTTGGGAATTAGATGCCAATAAAACTGTGTTGTTTTCATTTCCTTTAAAGATGTACAGCCTCGTAAACTCTATCAAGGGTCGCTGTGAGTTGGAATCTGCTCAATGGCTATGGATTTGGTGGTAGCTTAGGAGCCATGAGGGTGCACGGGTTGAATACTGGGCTACTAACCACAAAGTCAGCAGTTCATGCCCACCAGCCACTCTGCAAGAGAAAGAGGAGGCTGTCTGTTCCTGTCAAGATCTCTGGGCTCAGAAATCCTGGGAGCAGCGCGTTTCTGTCCTGTACGGTCACTCTCAGAATCGACTCGATGGCAGTGGGTCTGCGTGTGATGGTGGCCTGGTAGTAGACTTCCATGTGACAGGCCAGGGTTTGATTCCCAGCACCATCTGTCGGTCGCTCTGTGTGTGGCTCAGATGCTGAACGTCAGGCCGGTGATCTAAGAAGAAAGGCCGGGTGATCCACCTCTAAAAATAATCCAGTGAAAACCCTTGGGTCACAACAATCCCGTCTCTTCTGTTTGTGCATGTGGTCATCGTGAATCTTGTCAACTTGATGACAAGCTAGCCACACCGATGATTTCAACCTGCTTCGGCCCATGGACACTTGACTGGAAGGCACCCTCTCTTTAAAGACCTCTCTTTATCTTGTAGGGAGCTTTAAGCCCACTGCAAAGTCAGCAAATTGAAACCTGCAGCTTGTTCACAGAGAGAGACGGGGCCTTCTACTTCCACAAAGAGGTAGTGTCTCAGAAACTCACAGAGGCAATTCTGCTCTATTCCACAGAGTTACTAAGAGACTTACTAAGGTTTGTTTGTTTGCTTGTTAGACAGTTTCATTAGCACTTTATCCACATGTCATGCAATTCAATCAATCCATCGTATCAAAAAGAGTTGTACAATTATCACCACATTCAGTTCTAGAACATTTTCTTCTTCCTTGTACTTATTGCTATTCATGTGATTTTATTTCCTGATTGTGGCAAAAATATACACAACAGAATATTCTCCAGTTCCACAACTTCCACTTGTAAAACTCAGTGTCATTGATTATACTGTTCATACGGTACAGCCACGATTGATATCCTTTTCTAAATTATTCTGCCACCCTGGACACTAACTCAATGCCCCTCCTCAATAGCTCTTTCCCCTTCACCTATGGCAACCATTGGTCCAGTTTGGTTTGTATACCCCCCCCCCCATGGCTTTAAAAGGAGTTGTATGATCGCAATCAGTTCTGGTGTTCCCTCCTCCCTCCCACATTCATTATTTGCTTCCCAAATCCCCTCACTCTCCCATCCTCCCACCCACCCCACATCCATGATACACCATTGCATCAGTTCCTGTTTCTATGCATCTAGGTATGACCTCTGTGCATCTACTCTGTGCTTCACAAACTGGGTTTTTTTTGTTTTTGTTGGGTTTTGTTAGGTTTTGTTATTGTCTTCCTTGGATCACACAAGCTGGTGTGCTTCTTCCACGTGGATTTAGTTGACTCTTCACTTAGATGGCTGCTTGTTTGAATACAAGCCTTTAAGACCCCAGATACTATTCCAATTGATAGCCGGGCACCATCTGCTTTCTTCACCACACTTTGCTGTAGCACCCTTATCTCCAGTGATCATTTCATGAAGGTGAGTATCGAGCAGGGCCATGTTATCAGAACTAACTGTCCTTGGATTGGGGCTAGGGTTAAAGGGGGAGCCCCGAATCCATCTGCTTGTCCATGGGATACACAGGACTCAACAGCACAAACAAAAGGCAGGAAGACAAAATCCCATAGAAAGAAAAACATTATCAATCCTCCCCCTGGGGTACAGGGCAATTGCACTGATAACATCAGCACAATTTTTCCAATGACACAGCACTCCAGGCACTGTTGGTATGAGGAGTCCACCAGGGTACAATTCCACCGGGAGCCGAAACCGATGAGCTGTGTCCCATCCATCTCCCAATTAATTGAGCTCTGATTACCCTAAGCATGGGGGTTGGTGCCAGCAGCAAACTTCCCGGATCAATTCTTGCAGGTTCAGATCCCTGCCCAACAGATCAAAACCTGTCATATCACTGCCAGGGGGGCATCGAGGTACTACCTAGATGGAGATCCTGGTCCCTTTCCATGGGACACCCACCCAGCCAGGGGTTCCCCACAAGGTCCAATGTTGCAGTGAGTTTTCATTTTATAGGATTTCCGTCCCCTAGGACCTGACCCACGCTGGTGTCACTCTTTCGCAAATGCTGTGAGACCAGGAGTGGAGGGGGGACACTCAGTGGCCTGGGAGTAAGTGAAGGAAGACTGGAGAGAGGAAAACAAGAGCCATGGTGTCAATACTGACTCATCGTGACCTTGTAGGACAGGGTATAATTGTGAGTTTCTGAGACTATCACTCTTTATGGGAGTATAAAAACAAAACAAAACCACCTTTCTCCTAAGGAATGGCCAATGGTTTTGAACTTCCAACCTTGAGGCTAGCAGCCCAACCTATAACCACGAAGTCACCAGGGCTCTTGGGGGAGGAGAGAGTAGAGTTAAACAGAGGGGGCGGCCTGTGGGGGAGGTGTGTGTGTGTGTGTGTGGCCAAAGGTGAGGACTTGCACATCCCAGTGAGGGACTTGGGCTTTTGTCTTAGAAGGTTGGGGGCAGGAAGACAAAAGCTTTGATATGTGGATTGAGAAGCATCCCTGGGCTGGGAATAAGAGGCCATTTGGAGGGAAGGAGACGGAGGCCCTGGAGGCAGGGATGTGCAGGAGCTGAAGGAGGGGCCCAGAACGGAGTCCTCAAGACCAAAGGACCAGGCTGCACCAGGGCGATGTGGTGGGGGGAGGAGACCTGGGTGGGGGAGGGGCCTGTTATGTTGGGGCCTTGTGACTGCAGGGTGGAAGGGTCCATCCTGGAGGACTCTAGGATCCAGGGACGGCAGACCCACTTCTGGGGCTGACCCTGGGTGGTGGGACAGTAATGAGCATGGTCAGCAAGCAGGAGCTTGAGGGTCAGATGCAGGGCCTGCTGGGAGCTGACTAGGGATGGAGGGGACAAGATCCAATTTGAGTTTCAGATACAACAATACACACACACACACACACACACACACCACCCCAGCTGCTGAAAGAGAGTCAGTCTGGAGGGCAGGCCAGGGAGGGTGGAGGCTGCAGCACCAGCAGGCCGGAACAGAGTTGGGCTATGTGGCTGTGAGCCATGGGAACAGGGTGGTGCAGGTGGCCCAACAGGTAGAACTTTGGGATGAGCTGTCGGGATGCCTGAATCCGACAGAGGGGGCAGGAGTCAGGAGTCG